GCCCCAGGACTTGCCGGCTCTCGGCTCACGGCCTGCCGGCACCATCCCACCGGCCTGATCCCCCTCCATACCCTCTCTCCAGTCGCTCCTGCCTTTTATGGCCCCATCCAAGGAGAACCCCGGTGATCAGCAATGGCACCTGTGGGACGGCTGCAAGGCTCGAGTGTGCCAGGCAAGAGCAGGCGCACAGAGAGCCTGAGGAGCCAGGAGATGCCCTGGCTGAGCATTGTGCTGCTGTGGGACGAGCTGACCCCTCTGCACAGTCTGTGCCGTCCCTGCCAGCCAAGTTCTGCCCGGGCTCTGTGCACGGGGACGGAGCACTGACAGTTTTCAGCCCCCGCGCTGTTCCACAAAGGCTGGGATGGCACAAGGCCCTTGCCTGGCACCCAGGAGATGGGCAAGGCAAGGCAAGGATGGAGCCTCTGAGCCACCAGCACGCTGTCCCAAAGGCTGGGATGGCACAGAAACCCAGAATCCATGAGGTTGGCAGAGACTTCTGAGGTCAACCGGCATCCAGCCTACGACCCATCCCCAGCACGTCAAGCAGACCACGGTACTGAGTTTGCCATGTCCAGTCTGTCCTTAAACACCTCCAGGGATGGTGACTCCACCACCTGCCTGGGCAACCCATGTCAATACCTAATCCTTGTTTCTGCCCAAAAATTCCTGCTCCTGTCCCTGACAAACACCCCCTGACAGGCAGGTCCTCATGTCCTCTGTATACTTTTGTGTACATCTGGTGTGTGCAATGGGTCAAAGAGGGGATCCCATGAGCAAATAAGGCAGGGTTGTCTGGCATTATATTCCTAAAGGTTCTCAATGCGGGTTTAAATTCACCTTTGATCCAATAGATGAGTGAGGGTATTAAATTTGAGGTAAGATGGTTACATTTACTTTTGATTCCATAGTTTCACAAACCCTGTGACCAGTTCTCAGGAGATGTTCCTTTGATTTCCACTTCTAACAGTCTGTTCTGCTGAGCACATGGACAAGGTAAATAACCACACAAACAGAACTAACAAATGATAACCACAGTTACCAGTGAACTGAACCAGAGTCCAGATCTGAGGTTTTTCATTCCCTGTTCTGAATCCTTTTCTCCATTGAACAGTTCCATGTAAAAGAAAAGAAAAAGGTCTGTCCTGCCCCTCTTAGGGCCAACATTAAAATACAGGAACAGTCCCCTGAGAGCTTATTTTATGTTCTTTATCATGAGCATCTTTTGCTTTCCAGGTGTCCCTGTCCAAGGGAGGACCATTGGTACAGCTCCTACAGAAGGTAGTGCCACCAATACAGGCTGGCCAGGAAGGGGAGAGCGTTTTTGATCACCCTCAGGTTTGGATGTTGCTGGTAGCAAAGGGGGAGGCAGTGGATAAAAAGCTGTGGGTCCAGGATAGCCATTTATTCCCCATCAGTCATTCACCATTTTTACAGCATCCCACAGTCGTTCAGTCCCATTAGATTTCTGAAGTTTTAGAAATTGTTTCAGCAGGTCATTTGTTCTTTCCATTCTGCATTTGTTTGTGGATAATAGGGGTTGTGAAATATCCACTGGATTCCTTCCTTGGCCCACTCCTGGATGATGGTAACTGTGAAGTGTGACCCATTGTCTGACTGGATAGATACAGGTTTTGGGAAAAAACTGAACCCCATTTTAGGAGCTGCTGGAGTCTTTGCCCTCATTGCCCAAGGGAAAGTTTCTGCTTGCACTGATCCTGACCCAATTTCCACTCCTACTAACACACACTGTTTTCCCTCAGATTTTCTAAAGGGTCCAATCTAGTCTGTCTGCCTCGTGTCCCACAGCCCTTTTCTGTCTCTTCTGTGTAAGGAGGGTTGTTCTACAGGGTGATGCTCCAGTTGGGCTCTGCGCTGCTCACATGAGGAGGTGCAGGTGGGGCACATCTCTCCAGTCAATGCCTATCCCCTGTTCCTGCTGCTCTGCATAAGTCCTGTGCCCCTGTGTGCTGTGGCTTGAAGTGCAACCATTCTCAGAGTCTGTCCCAGCTCTCTGGGAGGAGTTGTTACACTTAGAGGGGCTGATCTGGCCAGTTCATCTCCTTGGTTGTTCCAGTGACCAGCTGGAGTTTCATTTTCCTGATGGGAGGCTGCCCATCCCACTAAAAAGTTCCCTTTCTTTACTAGAGCAAGAATATCTTGCCATTTCTTCTTTTGCCAAACAGAGATTCCATTCACTTCCCAGTCACTGTTGTCCCAGCAGGGGAGCCACTCAGTGCACCCTTTGAACACAGTAAAAGAATCCCTGTAAACATAGACAGAGGGTTCAGTTTCCTGGTTAAATACCCTCCAAACTATTCCTGATTCTCCTGCCTGTGCCCTGCTTTCTCTTTCGGGGACTGTTTTGTCTCCTGGATGTCCCTGTAAAGCCACAGCACGATATTTCCAAACTGCCCCTTCCCGCTCAGCTGAGGCATCAGGAAACCCCCCATCCTGCAATTGCTCTGAGTGTGGGGGTGCCCCTTGAACCACAGAAGGGGGAGAATCAGCTGAGCTATTTACAGTCCCCTCATCTTCTCAGGGAGGATTTTTGTGAGCTCCTTCTGTTCCCTGAAAGATGGTGCAATAATGTTCAATTTGAGCCTCCCATTTCCCAACAGGAGCTGGCTGGGCCACCCCACCAGGGAGTAGGGTTCCTGTCAGAACAGGTTTGATGACCTTAAAGGGTCCCCTTCAAATTAGAGACTGCTGAGGAACAATTTTTTCTGCTTCCCACAAATAAGTCCTTTTCCCAGGGAGAATATAGTTTTTGGGTATCTTTGACACTGCATGAGGAAAACCCTACAGGCCTGGTGGGGACAAGTAGGTTTGTGCCCTAGTGTGGATGTTCTGGTGTCTGATCATGTTGGAGCTCCAGCTGGAGCCTCATAATGGTGCAGGCCTCATAAAGCCCATAAACATCACAAGAGGCTCTCATCATGAAGTCTCCTCATAAAGCCCATCTACCTCACAACGGGGCAGTCTCAGAAGGTCTCTGTGCTCATAGAACCCATCCACCCCATAATGGGGCAGCCTCAGAAAGATACTCTCCTCATAACCCTCACACACCTCATAACAGTGCAGGTCTCATAAGGCCCCTGTCCTCATAAGGCCCATAAACCTCCTCATGGGGCTCTCATCATAAAGGAGATGTTCTCATAAATGCCATAAACCTCATAAAGGCTTTGTCCTCATAAAGCCTTTGCACCTCAGAGGGGCAAACATCATACAGGCTCTGCCTTCATAAACACCATAAATGTCATAAAAGCACTGTCCTCATACACCCCACACACCTCATGACAGAGCTCTCATCATAAAAGATCTTTCTGCATAAAGCCCATGCACATCATAGGGTGCTGTCCTCAGAAAGCCCATACACCTCATAAGAGGCTCTCCTCATAAAGGCCATGTCCTTATAAACCCCATAAACACTGCTGCCTAAAAGACTGCAGAGGAAAAAAGACTCCAGGCCAAATTAGGCAGGAGGGCAGAGAAGCAGCAGAGGTTTCCATGAGCCTCCAGTCTCCAGGAATACAAACCCACACCCATCCCTTCCAACGCAGGGGTTACAGTTTTTATAATGATTTCCACCCAATGCCCGTCCCGTCCCCGCCCCGGTTCTGCCCCGCTTTGCCCCAGGAACGCCCGTGGGGAATTGAGTCTGGGGGAGTTTGGAGCTTTGAGCCGCTGCAACTACAACTCCCGGCGTGCCCCGCGCGGAAAAGGGGGCGGGGCGGGGTCTCTGCCGGCGGTGCGCGCGCACAGCCCCGCGGTGGCTGCCGGGAAAGCGATGGCGGCGACAGCGGGATCTGCTCCGACTCTGTGAGAGCTGGCGGGGGCTGCGGCGGGGCTGGGGATGCGCTCGGGGGCTGCGGGGAGCGCGGCTGTGGGCGGGAAGGCTGGAGGGCTCGGCAGAGTGGAGAGGAGGGGCTCGGGGGTTCCCGAGGAGGTTTTGAGGTCCGTGAGGGGCTGTCGGGGGGTCGCGGAGGGGATTTGGTGTCCTGAGGGCGCTCAGAGGGGAGGGTGAAGGTGCCTGAAGGGGTTTAGGGGGTCCCTGAAAGGGCTGGGGCCTCGGAACCCTCCTGGGGGGGGCTGTTTAAACACCATGGCTGCACTGCGCAGGCGCCGGCGGAGTTTCCACGAGGGAACTTCAACTCCCAACAGGCCTCGCGGGGCGCCGCCATTTCTGCTCGTGCCACAGCGCCCCCTGCCGGCTGGGCGGACCGACTGCAGGGAAAGGGAATCCTGATGCCCCCCCCGAACCCCAGAGACCCCCAAAACTCAGCACACAGAGACCCCACAGGGAGGGGATCCCGGGGTCCTCAGAAGCCAATCAGTGGGGTTCAAGGGGTTTCCCAGTCCTCAGGGGAGGGGTCCTGGCAGTGCCACCCAAAGTCTTGTGAGGAGTGACCACAGTGGTCCCAGTGCCCCAGTATAGCCCAGTGACCTCCCAGTGGTTCTCCGTATGGCCCAGTAACCTCCCCAGTGACCACCCAGTGTTTCCCAGTGACTTCCAACTGTCCCCCAGTATGGCCCAATGATCCTCCAGTGAGCACCCAGTAACCCCCAGTATGGCCCAGTAACCTCCCAGTGTCCCTCCGTGTGTCCTTGTAATCACCCCAGTAATCACCCAGTCCTTCCCAGTGCCCTCCCAGCATCCCTCAATAACCCCCAGTCCCCAATGTCCCCTGGTTCCCCCCAGTATGTCCCAGTATCCTCCAGTAATCACCCAGTGCCCCCCAAAGCCCCCTAATTGTCCCCAACGTGTCTCCACATGTCTTTGAATTTTCTATGAGTGTGAAGGGGGAATGGTCTGTGGTCAGAGGGTCCAGAGGGGGCTTCTGGGGGGTGATAGAGGGCTGGAAACATTTGGGATGGGGTTTGGGAACAGTGGAATTGGGGGTGTCAAGGGGGGAATTGGGGCCATGGGGAGGCCCTGAGGACATTGGGGACACCAGGGGGGTCTCAGGACTCACCTGCTTGTGGTGCTGCCCCTCCTCTCCCACCCAGGTGCACCTGAGAAATATCCCAGAGATGAGCCCGGAGCTGGCCCTGAGGTGGCCCTGAGAAGAAGTGGAAGGCAGAGGTGGTGCTGAGGCAGGAGAGCCCCGTGCTGGGGAAGAGGCTGAGCTGGGAGTGCCCAGCAGCGAGAAGGTGCTGTGTCCATGCCCTGTGTGCCAGGTGAGCTGGGGCTTTGCTGCAGAGCTGCGGGCGCTGATTGGAGCGGCTGCAGCTGCTGAGCTGGTGGCCCCAGGAACACAAAGTGTGCCCGGCCACGGAGCCTGCAGGGAGGAGCAGGGACAGGGTCAGGGCCACTGTCAGCCCGGGGCTGGCTGGGCAGACACAGCAGTTTTGGGGTCCCCCTGGGAGCTGCCGAGGGTGGAGGGCGGAGCGGGCGATGCCGGAGCTGGGGGAACCCCCGGCAGGCTGGAGGGGGGAGCACGGAGAGGGAGGAGCCCCGGGACCCCCGGGAGCCTGAAACGGGGGGAGCGGAGAAGGGGAAGCCTGGAGAGTGGGGACCCCTGGGATCCCTGGGACAATAAGGTGGAGAACCTGGAGAGGGGAATGTCTGGGAAGGCGGCACCCCGAAGGTGAGAGTCAGAAGAGGAGGGACCCTTGGGACCCCCAACACTCCCAGCATCCCTAAGTGGGACCTCCAACATCCCAGACAGGGGAGACCCTCTGAACCCCATAGGAGAGAGACCAGAGAGGGGGAACTTGTGGGGGAGATTTTTTTGGCTTAATCTTCAGATTTTGGAGTATATTTCAGCTGAATCTCAACTTTTTGCAGTTTGTGGGGCAGGGGTTTTCTTGCTATTTCTGAGGAGTTTTTTTGCCTGCATATTGGTGATTTCAGTTTTTCTAAGCTGAATCGTGATGTTTTGGAGGTCCCCCAGAACCCTGAAGTTGGGAGATGGGGAGTCTTGGATTCCTGGGAGCCCCAGCAGCCTGGAGAGAGCAGAGACCACGTAGATGGGAGACCCCAAATACACACAGGATTCCCAGCAGCCCGAACAGGGGGGACCTCCAGAATCTCAAAGTGGAGAGACCAGACAGGAGGAACTCCTGGCTGGGGATTTTTGGGCTGAATCTTGGTGTTTTGGAGGTTTTTATGGTCCCAGGATGCCCGGTGAGTTCTAGAGATGGACTTGGGCAGGAGGAACCCCGAAACCAATGCGCTCAGCCCTTGTTTCCCCCCAGCAGGATTTGTCCTTCCCAAAGCTTGGGCGGATGGAGGAGGAGGTTGCAAGGAAGAGGAAATATCTACAGGCTCCCCAGGCAGGTGAGGAGGAAGTCAGTGCCCCTTTAGCCCTGTCTTGTGGTGCCTGTGGGGGCCAGAATTGGGGACATGTCCTTGGCCTTCCCTCTGGGCTGGAGGCAAATCCCCTGCCTGTCCTTCCTTCCTACCCCAGGCCCCGAGCTGAGGACGGAGAGCACGGAGGACAAATCCCCCCGGCAGAGCCTGGTGGGAGAGGCCGTTTTGAAGGGCTCCCCAGCGCAGGAAGGCAGCGGGGAGGAAAAGGCCCGGAGATGCCCCTGGAGGAGGGGCTGCAAAGCCAGCCCAGGGAGCTCTGAGGAGGAAAGACCCGTTCTGTTCCAGGAAGGCGGCCGGAGCTTGAGCCGGAGCTCCGAGCTGGTGGTCCCTGAGCAGCCTCCCAGCAGGGAGAAGCCCTTCAGGTGCTTGGAATGTGGGAAGAGCTTCAGGAAGAGCACCTGCCTCCTCAGGCACCAGCACATCCACACTGGGGAACGGCCCTACACATGTAGAGAATGTGGGCAGAGCTTCAGGCAGAACTCCACCCTCCGCAACCACCAGCGCATCCACACTGGGGAACGGCCCTACAAGTGCTTGCGATGTGGGAAGAGGTTTCAGACCAGCTCAGCTCTCCTCAGGCATGAGCGGACACACACAGGGGAGAGGCCCTTCCGCTGCACCGACTGCGGGAGGGGCTTCAACCGGAAGTCCACCCTCATCAGCCACCGGCGCATCCACACCGGGGAGAGGCCCTACAAGTGTGAGGAGTGTGGGAAGAGCTTCACCTGGAGCCGTTCCCTGACCCTACACCAACGGACCCACGAGTAAGAAAAGCCCTCTGAGTGCCCCGACTGCGGGAAGAGCTTTGGCTGCTACTCCCACACCGAATGACCCCCCTGATGGTGAGGCAACCCCTGGAGTCCAGTGACTGTCAGTCCATCCCTTTCTACCAGAAAGGGCCAGTCCCCTTTGCCAGGGGCAGGTTGTGCCAACAGAACTCTTCTTGGGGGGTGTGTGGAGATTCCTGCCTTGGCTGGGGACCCCCCAAGGTCACTGCTGGAGGTTGAGAGCAGAGATCTCCCCCCGAGCGATGGTCTGGGGGAGTTCCATCCCTCCCTAATTCATAATTCTTGCTTTGGTGCCAGCTTGAGTAGAATTGCTTCAACAATTGCTTTAGTGTAGAGCACTGTCCTATTTTATCCTGTCCTACTGGTAGTTTTAGTGTTTCTATTTTGCAGTAAATATTTCTGATGAAGATCTTTTTTGTGATCATTTGTTACGCTAAATATTTCATTTCTATCAATAGATGTGATTTGCCATCCTTAAAACCTGGGGGACAAAAGTGGTTCAGTCCCACCTCTGTAATTCCTCTAAACTGAAAGTGTTGGTATAACCCAAGACTGAGATTGGATCCAGCAGCCCCAGCACCCCACAGTCAGTTGGGAGCTCAGGGGGTCACCCCGCTTTCGCAGTGCTTTTGGGCCCAAAGACCTCCTGGGGATCATCAGACCTGCCAGACCACCCTCCCTTTTCCACCGTTCTCCCTTTTCCTTCCACTTTTCCATTGTCCCTTCAATCCCCAGGCCCTCCAAGATCAGTTTTGTGGTCCCAATCCCGACATTTTTCCACACCCCTTCCACATCATCCCCCCACTCCCCAGCCGCCTCATGCTCAGTTTGGGGGTCCCACCCTGCCCTTTCCCCACTCTTTTCACCTCTCCTACCCTTTCCCCATGGACCTCAGTCCCTCTCCACTTTTGGGGCGGTCCCTCTCCCCTCCCACTCATTTTGGGGTCCCACCATCCCTTTTATCCCCTCTGACCCCCCTTTTCCCACCGACCTCCCCCTTCACACCCCCCGCTCCCCTGAGAGCTCCTCGCCCGCAGCCGGGGGGCTCCCAGCACCACCAGTGCCCAGAGAAACCCCCCCAGAAAAGGGGCTGGGTGGGGTCCTGGGTGGACTCTTGAGTGTTTTGGGGCATCCTTGAGGGGCTGTGGGGAGGTTTTGGGAAGGTCCCAGCACCTTTTGGGGTGAACTGGGTGCCTATTGAGGGGCCGGTGCCCTCCCAAAGCCCCCCAGAGCGGGGTGACACGGGGGGAACACAGGGGGATCCCCATTCCTGATCCATTCTGGGGCTGGTTCTGACTCCCCAAACTCAGCTCCACACCTTGGGACCCTCTGATTCCCCCCCAGTGCCCCCCAGTAACCGGGACTGGGGAGAACTGGGAAGCTGCCCCCAATAACCAGAACTGGGGCAACTGGGATCATACTGGGAGCGCCTGGGCCCATGCTGGGGTCTTACTGGAAGTTACTGCAATAATACTGGGAGTGTGTGGGAGGGACTGCAGCCTTACTGAGGATGAGTGGGATCAAACTGGGTTTGTACGGGAAGTGTCTGGAAGTTCCTGGGATCATAGTGGAGGTGACTGGACTCATACTGGGATCATACTGTGATCAGACTAGGATCATACTGGGAGCAGCTGGTTCTATGCTAGGGGCAACTGGGAGCTCTTAGGATCCCACTGGGAGCAACTGGGACCATGCTGGGTACACATCTTGGGTGCAACTGGGCCCACAGTGAAGGTGGCTGGGGTCATACTGGGAGTGACTGGGAGCATTCTGAGGCCAGTTGGGACCATGTTGGCCCAACTGGAATATACTGGAGGTGACTGGAATCATACTGGGAGTGACTAGGACCACACTGTGGATGACTGAGAGTGGCTGAGCAACTGGGATCATGCTGGGAGCAACTGGGAGTGAGTGGGACCACACTGGGGGCAAATGGGATATACTGGGAGAGACCAGGAGTGACTGGGATCCTACTGGGACTGACTGGGAGCATACTGGGACTGACTGGGAGCAGGCTGATGTCAACTGCGAGAGACTGGGAGTGACAGGGATCCTACTGGGAGGGACTGGAACTGTAGTGGGGTGAGTGGGAGCAAGTGGGACCCTGCTGGGGTCAAATGGCTTTATACTGGGAGTGACAGGGAATGTCTGGGTTCATCCTGGCTGTGACTGCCACCATAGAGGGTGTCACTGGGATCCTACTGGAGTCATACTGGGAGGGACTGGGAGGGACTGGAACTACAGTGGGGTGACTGGGAGCAACTGGGACCATGCAGGGAGTAACTTGGATCCTACTAGAAGAGACTGGGATCATAGTGGGACTGACTGGGAGCACACTGGAAGCAACTGGGCTATACTGGGAGTGGCTGGGAGTGACTGGGATCATTCTGGGAGTGACTGGAACCACAGTAGGGGTGAAGGGGAGCAACTGGAACCATGCTGGGAGCAACTGGGATCATAGTGGGATCAACTGGGCCCCTACTGGTGTCCTGCTGGGGTCTTACTGGGAATGACTGCAATAATACTGGGAGTGTGTGGGAGGGACTGCAGCCATACTGGGGATGAGTGGGATCAAACTGGCTTTGTACTGGAAGTGTCTGGAAGTTCCTGGGATTATCCTGGGGGTGACTGGACTCCTACTGGGATCATACTGGGATAAACTGGGACAATGCAGGGGACAAATGGCATCATCCAGGCAGAGACTGACAGTAGCTGGGGCCATACTGGACTCAGACTGGGAGTCCCTGAGAGGGAAAGGAACCATCCTGTGTGGGGCTGGGAGCAACTGGGACCACATTGGGGCAACTGGGATCCAATTGGGAGTGACTGGGAGTGACTGGGATCACAGTGGGAGTGACCAGTGCCATACTGGAATCATAATAGGAGTGAGTGTAAAGGACCAGGATCAAACTGGGAGTTACTGGAACTATGCAGGGGGAAACTGGGAGCCAGTGGGGCCGTGCTGGAAGTCAACTAGGAACATTCTTGGAGCAACTGGAATAATGCTGGAAGGAACTGGGAGTGAAAGGGTACATGCTGGAGGCAACTGGCCTGAACTGGGAGTGACTGGGCTCACACTGCTGGGAACTGGGACCATCCTGGGGCAAGTGGAAGTCACTGGGTGTCAGGGGTTTCTGTGGGTGGGTTTTGGTAGTGGGGGGGCTCCAGGGGTGGCTTCTCTTGGAAGCTGCCAGAAGCTTCCCCTGCCCCGTGGAGCCAATGCCAGCTGCTCCAGGATGGACTTGCTGCTGCTGGCCAAGGCCGAGCCCATCGGGAGCAACAGGAACAGCTCTGGGATAATAGATTTAGGGACAGAAGGAATTGCAGCCAGGGAAGAGCAGAGTGGGAATGTGGGACCAGCCGTGCAGACCCCAAGGGTGGGGCAGAAGGAGGGGCAGGAGGTGCTCCAGGTGCCAGAGCTGAGGCCCCTGCAGCCCCTGGGGGAGCATCGGGGTGCAGAGACCCCCCTGCAGCCCCTGGAGGCTCCCACGCTGGAGCAGGGGATGCAGGAAGGAGGTTGTGACCCCGGGGCAGGCCCAGGATGGAGCAGGTCCTGGCAGGGACCTGCAGCCCGTGCAGAGGGAAGCCCAGGCTGGAGCAGGTTTTTCCCAGGCAGGACTCGTGGCCCCTGTGGGGGACCCACGCCGGGTCAGCTCATCCCTGAAGGACTGACCCCATGGGAGGGACCCCACGAGAGCAGGGAAGGATCCAGCTCCTCTCCCTGAGCAGTGACAGAAACAACAACTGACTGTAACCCCCATTGCCGTCCCCCTGCACTGCTGGAGGGAGGAGGGAGAGCTGAGAAGGAAGGAGGGGTGGGGGGAAGGTGTTTTTCAGACTGCTTTATTTCTCACTCTTTGGCTTTTATCCCATCAGTAATAAATTGAAGTATTATCCCTACTTTGAGTCTGGTTTGCCCCTTAGGAAGCGACTTTCTCACCACCCTCATCTCTACTCAGGAATCCTCAGCTGTTTTTTCCTCTCCTCTGTGGAGTTGTAGAGGGAAGGGGAGGAAGCAGCTTTTAGTGGGTGTCTCAAATCCAGCCAGGGTCAACCCACTAAACCAACCCCTGTGCTTGAGGCCCTTTTGTGATGTCACAGCCTACCCTCTCCATTCCGGAATAGCCCTTGGCAACCAAAGAACCAACACCCCACAATGTCAGAGTGCAACCCCACCCATGTGCCCCTTTATGATGTCCCGGCCCATCCTCTCCATTCTGGAATAGCCCCTGGAAACTAAAGAACCAATGCCCCACACCCCCACAGTGCAACCCCACCCATCTGCCATGGGACTCTTTGGGAAGTCACAGCCTTTCCCCCAGGAAAGAAAGCCTGTAATCTTCGGGTTTCACATGCATTTGGTGGGCCACCCTGGGTACTCCATGGGCAGCAAGAGCTTTCTGTCCTGCCACCTTTTGTCTGGCAGGAATCTTTGTCCAGATTCCAATTTGGCAGTCGGACTGACAATTCCAGCTCGGGGCTCCTGCAAATGAACGACAGCCCTGCCCTCCAGGAAAGAAACCCCTTCCCCTCGGTCTCTTTTCCTCTTCCTTCAAATACAACCTGCAGGGCAGCTTTCTGCCATCTCTTCTCTTGGGAATTGTGAAGAGAGACCCGCTCCCATGTTTAACACCTCAGGCAAAACCACCCTGTTAACACCTTTCCCAACCTTCCCCATCCTTTCACAAAGCTGAGATGCGGAAAGAACAAGTGCCCTTGTCCCTGGTTGTGCTGCTGTGCTGGGAGTCTCTTCCCTCCAGCTCTGCACATGGGCACTGCCCCTACAGATCCAGAGAAGGGCTGAAGAAGCATCTTCAACACAGAAATCAGGGCAGATGTATCAGGGATTGTTGATATTTTTTGGTCTGTGTTTGGCCCAGCCACCTGCAAATGTTTTCTTTTTTGCCTACCAAGTTCACTGATAAATGGGAACTTCGTCCTTGGAGAGAGAGTTTCTTGTATAAACTGTTTTAATTGGTGTTCTGTGATTGGCTCGTTGTCTGTAGAGGACATTTGAAGGAGAAACTGAAGAGGAGAGGATGAAGTAAAGCCCCCAGACCCAAATAGATCAGAGCCCTTGAGTGAAACAGCGCAAGTGCGAGGGGAATCCCCACGTTCTCCCGCATGGCTGAAGGGGGGCACTCACAGAACGGGGCAGGGACCGAGGGCCTTTCGGCTGGGCGGTGCTGCCACACCGGCCCAGGGAGACATCCACGGATCATTGGATAAAAATGCAGGTGGCTCGTGCTCGGGGCTCTCAAGCTTCACAGGAAGGACAACGTTATCTTTTGTGGAGACACCGCTATATTTGTGAACCTGCTGACCCTCCGAGGATGCAGCCTCTGCTATGGGGAATTCTGGTTATCCTGGGGTCGGTAAGACAACCTGTGTGAGCAGGGGTTTCACT